CAAAAGTGCTGTCAGAGTCTGAAAGATTTGTGCCGTCTCTCTTTTTTTCAGACATGTTTCTTCAGTACATATGAGATGGATTCATCAAAGGTTCACAATGAGCCATTGACAGCGACCAACACTTCATCCACAAAGGCAAACTGAATTACAGCCTTGGGTAAACACAGGAGTTCAGTGAGGTGGCACTCTCTCACGTGCTTTGACTGCTGCACTTCTTAATAATGATGAAATGGCATATAAATGCCAGCACTTTTAGATGAGCCAAGTGTCATTTGATTGTAGTTGCTGATGGGAAAATAAGACATTTGCATTTGACGAGATGTTAACATGAGACCAGACTTCCTGTACATAATCTGTGCTCCTCGAGAGACTGTTATTCTTCTGTAATTGCAGCTTCTCCTCTTGCCTTATTAGAGAGAATCAGGTATCTTGATAATGAGATTGTGGGCTGTCTGGATTTCTTCATCTTATAGTCTGTGAAGGTAAAGCCTTTATTTTGGTATGTTTATGATTGTAGGTGAGCAGCGAAACCTCGAGATAAACATCGACAACATGTTTGATGTTTTCTGATTTGAGGTTCAGACACCTGTTACTGTTACAAAGTAGAGGACATGTATATACTGTGTAGCTGTGCTTTAAATATTCATTTGATAATTGAGCTTGAGATGGTTTTCAAAGGGTCACTCTCCTGTTTCTACCACTTTCTGGCAATTACAGTGCCAGCAGAAAAAAGGGATGGGGAAAAAATAAAATATGAGTTGAATTGCACATACACACAGAAACTAATTACATTTTTCAATTTTAATAAAGTTGGAAATCAAAGCTAGACTTTAATGAAATATTTTACAAATTTTCAGTTCTCTGTGGTGGCCATTGTGTTTTTTTAATATTATTTTTACACTATATTTTTGAGAGATCTGTTAATAGATCTGTACCTTTCCTTAAAACCAGATACATGCCTAGAACAGTTCATTGTATTCCAAGATGTCACATTGTAATAAATATTTAGCAGGTCTTTTTTCCCCATTTAAAATTACATGCACACAAATACAGACCTAAATTGTGAGCAGATGCTGAGCGTATAAAGTTTTTTTTTTTTTTTTTTTCCATTTATAATGTCTCAATGATTGATGATGATACTGATAGCCAAGTGGTTTTAAAGCAGATCATAGAATTTCATTCTCAGCATCATCAAGATTCACAAACAAAGGTTATTTTCATAGATTAAATCTATCTTGTCTTTGATGTCAGTATCTGATACAGTGCAAAGTTTCGTATATCTCCGAACACCATCAGCAGTGCACTTTTAACCTTTATTCATCACAGTCATTAGATTAAGTAGATAAAAAATTTTTTTTTTTAAGTTGGCACTGGTGTTATGAAATGGCTCGGCTACATTTTCCAAATTAACAAATAGAAAATTTGTGTCACTTGAAACTGTGCCAATGTGTGGTGTGTCCTAATTAATGGTCATTCTAGCCTTAGCTTAGAGTTACACCGAAGCTGCCTCCCAAACCTATAACCTTTGTGAAGGAATGTCAGCTTCACAAGTCACCGTTTCCCTTTACACAGCGGATCAAAAATAAGAAGGCTTGATTTTTGGATCACTGCATTCACAGGTATCTCCTGCCATTGTTATTTTAATGACCTGCAAATGGAAAAACTATTTAAAGAGGATTTGACCCGACGACCTGTATAACAGAACATGTCTTTTCAATATTGCATTTAAGACTGCAAATGAATGATGGCTGGGAAAGTGGAAAAGGTGTCCAAATACGAAACTTTAAAGCTTTTGGAAAAGTGCCGGAAGGAAAGAGACGATGCTTTGCACCGTGAGAATATGATGAGGGAGAAAATGAGACAATACGAGTCTCGAATGAGATCAACCGAAGCGCTTAAACAGAAATTAAAGCAACTGACTTTGGACAACAAGGAGCTGCGGAAACAAGTGAAGGTCCTGCGGGCTGAAATTGGTTTAGAGGCCAGTCCTAAATTTAACGGTAAAACCACCAAGGATATAATCAACGACCTGCACGAGAAGGAGCGCGAGTGCAATTCACTAGTTGAAAAAGCGGGCAAATTAAGTTTGACGATTGATGAACTGACATCCGAACTGGCCAACACCGTGACCTCGAAGACTCTGCTGGAGGACCAGGTCCAGTCCCTGCAACAGAACCTGAAGGATATGACCAACAACCAGCGGCGTCTTCTGAAGCTCTGGGAGGACAAGAAGGCTCAGCGGGAGCAGCTGTCACTGCCCGCCATACCGCAGAGACCCGGACAAAAGCCGGTGGTGCATAAAGGCGTCCAGACGGAGATGTCTGTCAGTTCAACCCAGATATTACCCACTAACGCTTTTGAGACCAAGACCCGCCGAGAGATTGATAAAAGCAGAACCAGTCTGGAAAGACGCAACATCACTTTAGCAAATGGCACTCATCGAGAGAAAAACGCTTTAATTCAGAATGAAGCGAAAGGAATACACAACTGACAATTATTATTTCACGAATTTTTTTTGTGTCTGTCTACGCCTCTTTATGCTGCTCAATGCCTATAATACTTTAAAATAAATGTATTGTGATTTTTTTTAATATGTATGTTTAAATAATTAAGAAACAACATGATCGAAACTTAATTAAGGAGTATAATTATTTCTTACGTATTGACTCATTACAGTTTTTTTTAGACTGTTGTTTGATGTAATGCCCACAAAACATTGTGTATAATGAAATACTGTTTAACATTAAATATAAATGTAATTTATTCATTTATTTGCTTTTTAATTAGGATAGTTAGCGTATGTAATTCAGTGATACAATTAATTTATATGTAATATGCTTCACAATAGTAACGTTTTTACATTTTAAAAAGAACGGCTATAAATCTGTGCAGGATTTACATTTATGGATGGACTAACGTTATCTCTTTAAAGGGATAGTTCACCCAAAAATTTAAATTAATTTACATTTACTAAACATTTACTAACATTTATATAAAGTCTCTCCAAACATTTATGACCTTTCTGATCTTCTGCAGATCACAAAAGAAGAAATGTTGAAGAATGTTGATCAAATAGTTTTATTTGACCGTTGACCATTAATTAACGAAAAACACATATTTCTCCAAATATCATCTTTTATGTGCTACAGAAGCAAGAAAGTCATAAACTACACGAGGGTCAGTTAATAATGGCGTAGTTTTTAATTTTGGGGTGAACTGCCCCTTTAAGTGTGATTGTATTCAGGCAGTAAATCAGACGCACTCGCAGCGGTCCTTATGAGGTCCTTCGAATGTGTGGCGCGGGTACTCTCCACACTTTTGCCATGTTGATATGGATTTTACTCAAGTGATGCAGAACTGAAACAAGAATGATAAAATGTTTTCGCTGAAACAGAATTGTTGGTTTATAAGAAAGGTAAGGACTGGTTAAATATAAATCGTGATTAAATAACTGGACGGGAACTAACCAACTAGGAAGTTAGTGTTTAGTCGACAGTGTATATAAAAGACTTCTGGATATTATCATGCACTGTTATAGTGAAATGTATTGTCTGTTCTTGATAAAGTGTATTGAATTATTTAATTATTTGTGCGGAATTAGAGTTATCGTTTAAAGTTATAATTCGTAGAAAGATTGTGTTTGACTGCGGAAACAAGTGAAGGTCCTGCGGGCTGAAATTGGTTTAGAGGCCAGTCCTAAATTTAACGGTAAAACCACCAAGGATATAATCAACGACCTGCACGAGAAGGAGCGCGAGTGCAATTCACTAGTTGAAAAAGCGGGCAAATTAAGTTTGACGATTGATGAACTGACATCCGAACTGGCCAACACCGTGACCTCGAAGACTCTGCTGGAGGACCAGGTCCAGTCCCTGCAACAGAACCTGAAGGATATGACCAACAACCAGCGGCGTCTTCTGAAGCTCTGGGAGGACAAGAAGGCTCAGCGGGAGCAGCTGTCACTGCCCGCCATACCGCAGAGACCCGGACAAAAGCCGGTGGTGCATAAAGGCGTCCAGACGGAGATGTCTGTCAGTTCAACCCAGATATTACCCACTAACGCTTTTGAGACCAAGACCCGCCGAGAGATTGATAAAAGCAGAACCAGTCTGGAAAGACGCAACATCACTTTAGCAAATGGCACTCATCGAGAGAAAAACGCTTTAATTCAGAATGAAGCGAAAGGAATACACAACTGACAATTATTATTTCACGAATTTTTTTTGTGTCTGTCTACGCCTCTTTATGCTGCTCAATGCCTATAATACTTTAAAATAAATGTATTGTGATTTTTTTTAATATGTATGTTTAAATAATTAAGAAACAACATGATCGAAACTTAATTAAGGAGTATAATTATTTCTTACGTATTGACTCATTACAGTTTTTTTTAGACTGTTGTTTGATGTAATGCCCACAAAACATTGTGTATAATGAAATACTGTTTAACATTAAATATAAATGTAATTTATTCATTTATTTGCTTTTTAATTAGGATAGTTAGCGTATGTAATTCAGTGATACAATTAATTTATATGTAATATGCTTCACAATAGTAACGTTTTTACATTTTAAAAAGAACGGCTATAAATCTGTGCAGGATTTACATTTATGGATGGACTAACGTTATCTCTTTAAAGGGATAGTTCACCCAAAAATTTAAATTAATTTACATTTACTAAACATTTACTAACATTTATATAAAGTCTCTCCAAACATTTATGACCTTTCTGATCTTCTGCAGATCACAAAAGAAGAAATGTTGAAGAATGTTGATCAAATAGTTTTATTTGACCGTTGACCATTAATTAACGAAAAACACATATTTCTCCAAATATCATCTTTTATGTGCTACAGAAGCAAGAAAGTCATAAACTACACGAGGGTCAGTTAATAATGGCGTAGTTTTTAATTTTGGGGTGAACTGCCCCTTTAAGTGTGATTGTATTCAGGCAGTAAATCAGACGCACTCGCAGCGGTCCTTATGAGGTCCTTCGAATGTGTGGCGCGGGTACTCTCCACACTTTTGCCATGTTGATATGGATTTTACTCAAGTGATGCAGAACTGAAACAAGAATGATAAAATGTTTTCGCTGAAACAGAATTGTTGGTTTATAAGAAAGGTAAGGACTGGTTAAATATAAATCGTGATTAAATAACTGGACGGGAACTAACCAACTAGGAAGTTAGTGTTTAGTCGACAGTGTATATAAAAGACTTCTGGATATTATCATGCACTGTTATAGTGAAATGTATTGTCTGTTCTTGATAAAGTGTATTGAATTATTTAATTATTTGTGCGGAATTAGAGTTATCGTTTAAAGTTATAATTCGTAGAAAGATTGTGTTTGAAACAGGCTGACAAGCAAAGGTGTGTGAACTGTGCCTAAGCTAGACCACATTCTCATCTCGTTTATTTTCAGGTTGTGATATGGAGGGCGGTGGCGAGCATTGCATGGTCAGTGCTTCTCTTGCCCGTGACAACTGCAGTCTTTGTGCTCTTGAGTAGATTCAGCTTGTTTCACCCCATCCAGTGGATTTCAGGTGAGGAAACGAGTACGAGTGTCTAACAAAATGCATAATTACAATACGTTACTGATACTGAGACGTGCTCGAGTGTGAATAGATTATTTATATAAGCAGTAGTTCTGACCTTAAGGGACATAATATACATACTGTGCTAAACCCTGATTTATGAAATAATAGTGAGAAATCAGTTTTATTATTCTTTTAAAGAAACGATTTATTGATCCTTTAGATGATATAAAAAACGTTTGCATGTGTTTTATGTTTTGTATAATATTTGATTAATCAGAACTCTATGATCCATGGTATGATGAATTTCTTATAGCTTGTAATGTAAATCAAAGAGATGTTTATAACAGTATAACAGACTACATACATAAAATGCATATAAATATCAGTTGTCACTCTGTAAACCAATAATATGTCTTAATGATATTCGAATGCTTGGTTTTATTATCAGAGGTCTGTATTTTTTATTGAAGTGTATAAAACATATGCAATACAATAATGACAGAGATGTACAAATAAATGTTCCTCAAAAGCCTGATGTATCATATTTGATACATTTAACGTGTGTTTATTAAAAATGATGCATGAATAATCAAGTAAACCAAAGTCAATTAAATCCGGAAAATTTTCATCTTGAAATATAACCAACAATACAAAAGTACTTATGTTCACTTTATATAAACCAGTTAAAACTTCACAACAAATAGACATGTGTACCACAACCTGAAGAGGGACATTTTTTGGATTTTACTTGCTAAAAAATATAAACTATCAATCAGATGAAATGTTACATCATGACATACTATCAATCAGCAACATTTTTTCCAGCAAAGTTTTGGTCATGTTGATTGTAATTTACACGTATCAAATATGATATATATGGATATGTGAATTGCACATTAGTCAGCTTTTCAAACATTGCTTTCAGAATGCACAAGTCTTCTGACGGCCTCAAGCACCATCTTTACCCTTGTGGTGCTGTGTGGGGTGGTTCTGATCACTGGCCTTTTCAACCTGGAGTTTTACACTTGTGAGTAAACTAGATTGATCTTTTATGGATGTGCAAAATCATTTCATTTGCAATTATTGCATTGCATTACAGGTTATGCTGAATATTTGTTTATTACACTCTTTGTGTTTCATTAAGTGGTTCCCTCCATTCCATGTTCACGCATGGCTCTCCTGGGTACGGTGCTTCACCCACGGCAATGTGTCCATTCTTTGGTCTACTGCACCATGGGCATGCTGGTAATGTGGTGTGCTTCTGTTACCATCGGGGGACGTTACAGCACTCTGGGAATTCCCTGCAGGCAAAGTGAGAGGTGGGTTATGACCTGATTCTGTTTGTCCCACATACGCTGATCCGTCGACGTTTTTAGAGGATCGGGTTTCATTAATTGTATTCCAGGCACTGTGGTTCATTCGACCCCAGGCCAAGAGATTGACACTCATACAGTTATCTTAAGTTGTTTTAATGAACTCTGAGTAATCGTATCTTAAAATTACCAGAAGGTCAGGCTTACCGTAATATAGGCCAAGTGCACCTCTAAAATACAGATGAAATGCAGTCTCTGTCTTTGTTTGGTTTTTATTGACATGCTATTGTTGCTTTATGCAATTTCTAACAATATGTGAAAAATAACTGTCCCATATTTTATGTTTGCTTCTGTAGTGGTGAAGTAGTGACCTGTCTGAATGAGTATCATCTCTTTCTTCTCTTGGCTGGGGCCTTCATGGGATACAGTCATAGTTTCTTGGGAGTGGTTCAAAATATGTACTATGTGTCCTTTCAACCCATACAAGTAAGTATTTGGCTATTTAGATTAATTGTTAGATGTTACACATAGTGGTTGACTGATGTGGTTTTTATTGTTTTGAAGGCTGTTACTAATATCTTTGAAAGCAGGGTGGCAGATGTGGCCAATATAATATATGATATTACACTGTTTAATTTAAAGATGGCATAGAACACATGTAAAGCAAATGCTGCATTTAATTGATATTTATTTTCCGCAATATTTAGTCAAATAATTAGAAATATTTTGAAAATTAGTCTGTTTGAAAGAAGTAATTGGGAAAACAAGAATCACAAGGTTCAACTCCTTCAGAAGGGCGCTAGGTTCACAGACCTGTCAAAATAAAAGTCCTGTGTTTGAGTTTAATCAGCCATTGACGGATAATTTAAAAAATGCAAAATGCTGACCAATATATTCGCCATGACAGTATATCAGTCTACCACTGTGTAGTATCCATTTGTAAAATGTCTTGTAGGATTGAATGAGAAATAGCTGAATCATTAATGCTTCCATTAATAATTTATTAATGCAAATCTCTTTTGTCCCTCACACATTGGTTGTGAAGCAATACAAATATCCGCGGTTCAAGGGCTGTCTGCCAATGGTGGTCAAGTGCAGTGTTATTCAGTCCTTATATTCAGCCAGGAATTTTGCTGCTCTCTATTTCTTTTTTGGTAAGTTACACTGATGATCAGAGATACATCCTCTAAAAATGATCTGTTTTCCTGCTAGATTCTCTTTAATTGTTGTTTTAACTTTCTTAGGGTATGCTCCTAAAACCTGGATCTCCAGCACACTTCATCTACAGATAGACAGGTCAGATTGGGAACTTTAGTCTGCCAAAACTGGAATGTTTAACTAATGTGAATTAAAGTAACATGAACCCATATTCAAGAATATTCATAAATCCTATATCGCTTTCGCAACTTTATAGTTCTCTCCAACCACTGGATTCACTGACTGGACTTCTAGATTTCTCCCTCCTTTACCACCTGACGATCAGTGGCACTTTCCTGTATTTCACCTGGTATCTCACTGTGCTTCTCTTCAGGATTTATGTCACAGAGGTACTTAAATGTGAAGGTTTTATTGTAGGATATATCAAAGCAAATGACATTACTCTAGTACCTGTTTTGAAAATGAACCTGATGGCTGGTTGTGCATCTTCAGGCCTACAGTTTTCCGGTGCAGTCCACATTTACTGAGGATGCAGTGCAATGTCTTCCCAAAGTTTTGGCTGAGACGAACACTTTAGTCATGAAGGTTAGGGTTTTTTCTTTATTTTTCAAAAAAAAAAAAAATCTAGGGTCAATAATTTTAAAAATGATCTCTAGGCTCATGGAAATGAATAAAATCTTAAGTTATGAAAATGTCTGTAGTGAATATACATTGTTAAACTTACCTGTTAAATATTGCTTTTTGTGAGTACAACCTCTGTAAAATGTATTGCAATAAAAAGTTGTTAGCCAGTCATCATCAAAAATTGGAAATTCATAAATTCATGCTGAAACCCTGAAAACAGATCCTAAATGTCACTGATACCTGTTTAAAAATGTTAAAGTTTCTTAACTGATTAACTGACTGTTTTACAGTTTTTCGCTCTACAAGACCTCGCTCTGTTATCACAACATTCTCCCTCACGCAGACTAGAAGTCTTCAGTCTGAGTCAGCCAGGTACAAACTAAATACTTTCAGAGAATTCTAAACTCATTGCTGTTCATGACTGGTAAACTAACGCAACCTGCATATGTAGGTGGTCACCCTCATAACTGGAATGCCATCAGTAGGGAATGTCTGTCTTTGCTGAGTGAGCTGACGCAGAGACTGGTGGCTCATCAGGATGCGGTTGCCTCTAATGGCCGAGTCAAGTCTCAGTCTGCCAGCAGTGACACCAGATCAGCTTCTTCAAGCAGCTCAGGTAAGGCCGCTTAGATAACGTCCAACAAAGGGCAAATCTAATCCCAAATATGAAGTCTAGTACTGCCCTTGGTGACATACTAGAGGAATCAAACCGCTCCAGAGAGAGTGATTTTATTTTTCTGTTTTATCTGTAGTGATGTCAGGAACAGAGGACATTGCTGAGACCCCTCGATTCGGTGTCCCACTAAGGACCCCTGGTTCAGTCTTCAAGTCGTCGGTGGGGGGTGTGCACAGCGCTTTGACGGCTCCTTTCACCCCAGATGTGGACAGCCCTTTCTCTTCCCCTGCTATTCGACGTCTGGTTGGCCAACAGGAACCCCGGTCTCCCTGGTTTGGTACAGTACAAAGCCCCCATATCATGAGGAGAGGGCCCAAACTGTGGAGTGCCTCCACAGGTGAGACAGCAAGACTAAAACTATCACATTTACATAAAAAAAAAAAAAAAATTAAATTGATTTTACACAATTTAATTTTTTTTACTAAAATGTATTTAAAAATAATTTTAAATGTAATTAGCTTTTTTTTTTTTTTTTGGATATGGTTTTGTGATTATTCTTATGGTATTCCTGTGTTTTTTGTAAATCATTGTGAGAAGCATGCACACACTTGTGAACAATGTATGCTCTAAAATAATCTTTTTTCAGAGTCACAATCCAATGGCAGTCCTCCTGCCTCCCCTGCCACTGTTCCTAGTCCTCCTGCAGCCAGTGAGAAACCCAGCTTCCTCGCCCAGTGGCTGCAGAACAGGAGAGAGCAGGTAGCATCTTCATCTAATCACACCTGGCCCGTAAATGAATCCTTTATTATTTCATAGTGTTTTCTTGGTTTCCAAGCATGTGTATCCATAGGAACCAAAACAGACAAGCTTTTGAGTGTCCAGTTCGGTTGCTGGGGAAAAAAGGCAGTTCACGTTTCACTGTGATACCATTACATGGCCTAGAGACACCTGTTAACTCATGTTCCCTTTATTTCCCATTGAAATCCCAGTCACATTCTAAGTAACATTTACATATTCCTTATAAGTAACAATCATTCTCATAATCTGGGAATTTTGTTTTGTGTGTATGTACCTGCGTACTACAATGTGAAGAGACTTCAAAATCATAGTGGGGACTTAAGTAAAGGTTTAAGGCATTGTTACACTTCATCTTCAGTATATTTAAATTGTGTTATGATCCTTTAACAAAAATGGGGGTCCCCCGTTTGCATCTTGCATCATTAATTGTTCACATTTGTGATGTTTTTTAGCACTCTGATTGGATGGTAAATTTTCAAGGCCTGTGCATGTTATATGGATCTTTGCTTCCACGTTTGTTTAATGTCAAATATGACATTTTTGAAACCTTCATATAATTAAATAAACTTTTTTTTTCTAAATGTCATATTGGCTGCAGACAAAGTTGTGTAAGTATGAAATGTGCATTTCCTCCGATATCCGGCAGATGTCGCTGTTTGTGTTCTGCGCTGCACGGCAGATTGTGATTACACGTTTGATTAAATGTTGAATATAAATTTAGTGTGATAAATTGCAAATTGGATTTTATCACTGAATATTATGCAAACTCTAATGCAGAGAAAACTCATATTAAAAGATAGATTATGATTATATTTATTATATATGATATAAAAAAATTCCTCCCCACAAGCTCGTTTGTAACACTAAATACTGAGACTGATGCACCGTCCACACTCTGATATATATATATATATATATATATATATATAATATTATATTCTCCTGTAACAAGATGAGACATCCAGCAATATGCACCATCTAAATCTTGTGATTTATAACGTGCAGGAATAATGATCTACTGGCTCTTAACAATCCTTATTGTTAGGCAAACCGCTGTACTCATTGTTCATACATCCGTTCACAGGTGTCTCTTGGTTCTCTGTGATGATTTTGGGCTGCTCCAGTATATGCTGCCAGCATTGTTGCAGTGCTGTAAATCACTACAGTGACAAGTTATTTTTTTTGGCCATTTATTACTCCAAAAGTTCCTAAACAAACGCTTCAGTGACTGTCAAATCCATTTTCATGTCCATGTAAATGTCTTGAAAACATTATACCACTATTATATTGCTGTGGTTTAGGTCTGCTTTTAAAGATTATTGAATGTGATGATGATCGTGTTGACAGGGACAGTAAAATAGAACTTTAAGGTTCCAGTTGACTCTGGCTTTAACCGTTTAAAAAGAACAGACCTCACGTAATGGGCCTTCATGCCTAAAATGCAGAGATTCCATAAACTTTCATGGAATGCTGATTTTTTTTATATCTGAGACCAACAAGAACACTGTGGGGGGATCATCAGATATTTTCACTGCAAGTCCAAAAAACACTTCATCTCTGTACTCAGTTTTATTTGTGTGGTGCGCTTTATAGGTGAAACTATATCTAGATTTGTCTTTTATGAGCTTTTCTTCCTCCACACCTCTGAGGAAGCATCCATTTACATTTTAAAGATGTATTTACAGTAAGCAAAGTTAAAGGAGCTTAGCTTTGGAAACCTGATTGGAAATACAGGAGGGCAGTTTTCTTTTTTTTAATATGACTGAGGGCCTTTAAAAATTGTTCCCCATTCACACTGTGAAATAAAGTTTGTAATTTCTTTTTAGATGAAGCTAAAATTGTTAGTGTAAAAACCTGTTAACTGAGTTTAATTGAACATCACATTATATTACATTTTACTGTAAAATAATGTAACGTTATGCCAAATGATAGTTGAAGGTATATTTATTTCATTTAATGAATTATGTGGTTATAAAGGAAAGTAATACAGACACAAATATGCCATCCCATAATACCTGAAACTTTGTCACCATATTTTTACACCATTTCTTAACCCTAAATTTAACAGGATATTTCTTTACAAAGCACTTGCATTATTAGTGCCTCACCATAACCTTGAGTTATTTTTTAACTTGCCATGAAACAAAAATTAACAGTTCATATTTTTATGGAATGCTACAGTGTTTATTAAGAGTGATTTATTTGTGCACATCAATATTATTTATTTATTTTTTAAAGATGTATGCCCATAATCTTTCATCAAAAAACATTAGCATGCCCTCCTCCTGGCTATAACATCTCTTCTCTGTTGACATGTGTGCTGGCTCGTGGGCTGGGAAATAAGATTGTCCAATTTGTTTGATTTAATTATCACAGCAGTTAGCAAGCCATAAGATCCAATCAATTCCCGATACACCAAATCAAGTCCCTCCCTACATTTTATTTATTTATTTCACATTTTATAGCTGTTTCACTGGAATATAAATCACAACAGGGAAGAAAAAGTTCAGGTCTCAATTTCAGTTTTTTTCTGACTTTAATAAAAAAGAGGAATGAGTCAAAAAATTATTTTTGTTGTTTTAATCAACATTTATACCTCAAATGCAAATTGGTTGAGCCTAACTTGTATTTCACCCAGAGTATTGCATTACATCAAATCAGTTTTCACCAGATTTCAAGTTGCTCTTCATTTAAACATCATCTTATAAATCCGTGATCATAAACATTTACTCAACCAGAATAGATTTATTGAAATATGGAATACAAGTCACAACCAATTAACCGTGTGCAATTTAAAGAGGTCTCATCTCCTTAAACGCCAGGCCGTTGGCAGATGTGTGGAGTGTGTAAGTACTGGCTGCACGTACTGTCTGTCCACCCGCTGTATTCAGTAGAGAAGCTCTGTCCATGGCTTGTGGTTTGGATTCAACCACTGTCATTTCAGTGGAATTTCCTGGCTTCAAGTTTTCTCACAGATTTGCACTTGCTTGTAAATGTTTGGACTGACGGGGTGGCAGTGCGGTCGGCCTTAGTTCTTCAGTGATGCGTCCTTCCGTCACTGCTTTAATAACAGTCGGTAATGTGAGACGCCAGGATCCTTTTATATTGGTCATTTATGTTCCCAGTGAGACAGAAGTCCACGTATACAAACACTTCCATCACTATACAAAAAATATATATGTACTGGTGCCACAATATGGCCAGTGGACCACTGTGGAGCTCCCATATACCACTATGGCAGTTATACAGGTATACATTTATACTGTGTGTCTTTATGAAGTTATACAAGGTATGGGTCTGTAGTTGATTTCTCAGTATCCTGATCAATTGCTTTTTATTTAAATAGGAAAGTTTTGTAGAAAATTTGGTTACACTTCACAGTAAGGTTCAATTCATAAACATTAATTAATATATTAGGAATAATGAACTAATAATGAAAATTGCAGTACTTATAAACCTAGTTTAATGGTTTGGGGGTGTTTATTTGATATGATTACAATTTAAAATAACTTTTTTTTTACATTTTAATATTTAATATTAATATATTTTTATTTATTAAAAATATTTACACATTAATATGAACAATTCACTGCCTATACCTTTATGTATGCTTTTTAAAAAATCTGTACGTCCAGTTTTATGGATGGATATTTATGGATATTATTTGATGCGAGTAATGCTTTGTAAGGCTATCATGACTGATTCCATGGGTTTGGATGAGAAAGTGATATTTCATATTGAATAAAGTAACTGTCTGGATTTCATTACAGCAGTTTAAACATATAGTCATTGAAATTTTCACCTAATGAATACTTGCATGTTTAATACATTGTCATGTAATAAAATAGGGATTTCCTTTTCAGTTTCACTAGTTTCTTTCATACAATACAAAACATAATACTGAATTAGAAGACCAGAAATATATTTCTGGACATCCCTAATTTAATTAGATTAATATTTCTTTGATTTCACATAGCCAGAGTAAATTGATGCTTTGAAAAAAGCATTGAAAAATGCTGATGCTGCCTCTTCAGGTGGATGTGTATGAAGATGGAGTACAATTGTTTGTCCATATAGTATCTTGTATTGTTTTTCTGTGGTACTAGATCAGCAGCTGCTGTTAGTGAGGTGTCTGAACTCCTGCACTCCTCTTATTATTGAAAGATTTCTTTTAGTTTTCAACATTTTTCTGCTCTAGCTTCTATATTTTAAGTACTATTCAACTTGCGTGTGTTATTGGCTCATGTATGATAAACTAGTACTGCTTGTTCCTCATTTTTAAGTCTCTTTGAATAAAAGCATCTACTAAATGACTAAATGTAAATGCGGCAATTGATAATTGCCCTCATCATTCATTATTTTATGTTTAGTAAGGATAGATGTATAGTCCTGCTAGTTTAGCTTGAATCAGGTCTTTGAGTGTACTTCAAAGATGTCTGGCTTGTTGTTGAAAGTGACATGATACTTTCTAAACCTGCAGCGAACTAATAAATCAGAGTAATTACAAAGCAGATTCGTTTGTCACCTTTTCATACCCGTTCTGGAGACAATAAGCATGCCAGCCACAAGTTTGGCCAACAACTTGCACAACATTACACAGCATGATAATAAAAAAAGCATATGAAAAAAAAAGCACATTTTATAACGTATAACGTTTATAATGTTTGTTCTAGAAAAGAAGTGCTCTGAAAATGAAGACAGATGTATTTATTGCTAAATAAGTACTCATTTCCCAGTCAGATTACACAGCTGTGTTTAGCAATCTGTGGTAATATTAAAATGAAAGAATTCCTTAAATGAAATCATATGGTTTTCTCAGTCTTATGAGTTTGTTCCAATATCACTTAGCAATTTCTTTTAAAACTCATTTTTTAAAGGTGATTATTGGCAGGTTATTTTCATTCAGCATCATTCTGAAAGTTCCTGATGACAAAATATTATGTAGTGATACAAAAATACAGCTTAAAGGTGTACATTTTCATCTTGTCTAAAACTGAATTCAGCTGAGGTGTTTAATATACCCAGATTTCGAGTGGAGGGACTTTTAAAGACCTCTGGTAAAGTCTGAACATTATTGAATAGCTTCAAGAGTGGCATATGATGTTTCTCCATTAAAGGAACACGCCACTATTTTTGAAAATAGGCTAATTTTCCAACTCCCCTAGAGTTAAACAGTTGAGTTTTACCGTTTTCGAATCCATTCAGCCGATCTCCGGGTCTGGCGGTAGCACTTTTAGCTGTAGCTTAGCATAGATCATTGAATCTGATTAGACCGTTAGCATCTCGCTCAAAAATGACCAAAGAGTTTCGATATTTTTCCTATTTAAAACTTGACTCTTCTGTAGTTACAAGTGTACTAAGACTGACGGAAAATGAAAAGTTGAGATTTTCTAGGCCGATATGGCTACTAGCATGTTCCCAAACACTACCAGCTTAAGCTTGATTTTCCAGCAGGAACAAATAAGTGCAAAGGTGCAAGATTTTTTAGTGTTGGTATATTTTAAAGGAACACTCCACTATTTTTGAAAATAGGCTCATTTTCCAACTCCCCTAGAGTTAAACAGTTGAGTGAGTTTTACTTCGAATCCATTCAGCAGATCTCCGGGTCTGGCGGTAGCACTTTTAGCTGTAGCTTAGCATAGATCATTGAATCTGATTAGACCGCTAGCATCTCGCTCAAAAATGGTCAAAGAGTTTCTATATTTTTCCTATTTAAAACTCGACTCTTCGGTAGTTACATCGTGTACTTAGACCGACGAAAAATGAAAAGTTGCGATTTTCTCGGCCGATATAGCTAGGAACTAAACTCTCATTCCGGCGTAATAATCAAGGAACTTTGCTGCCGTACCATGGGTGCAGCAGGCGCAATGATATTACGCAGCGCCTGAAAATAGTGATCTATGCTAAGCTGCAGCTAAAAGTGCTACCGCCAGACCCGGAGATCGGCTGAATGGATTCGAAAACGGTAAAACTCAACTGTTTAACTCTAGGGGAGTTGGAAAATGAGTCTATTTTCAAAAATAGTGGCGTGTTCCTTTAAGTTCTTTATGGATGAAAGCAAGACGGACAACAACACATTAGTGAACCACTACTTGAGACAACAGTCTGATAAAAAGGTTCATTGAGTGCAAAAGGTCAAAATTCTGCATAGTCCGAGAATCATATTAGGCCAATTACACTGAATCAGTCCATTAGTCATGCCATGGTTTTCCCATGATTATGTGGAGATTTCTTCTTCTTCTTTTTTTTTTTCTGTGGGTAAACAAATGCATTTGTTAAATAGATGTCATTAAAGTTTAATGTGTGTGCGTGTTTAATTAGACATAAAATAGGATTCTGAATTATGGTTTTCAGAGTAATGTATAATATATTTGTGATATTTTGTCAGACATTTAGTCATTATAATTTGCTAATAAGGTTCCTCGCCACTTATTCTGTGAGAGAAAACCACTGTGACCCATATGTTTCTATTTAAATAACACATTTACTGTAAGGAGGCATAAACCTAAACCGCCACACACACACAAACACACAAAATTTTTTGCAAGAGCAGAAGTGCTACACTTTCTCTTCTGTGATTTTAAACTTTAATTTTATCTTCATTTACAGTGGTATAAATACAATGTGGGAAAAGGATTTGACATATTAAGCCCTTTTAATGGGTGCATTCAAAGCAGCAGCGCCCCTGAGGACTCATTTTAACTGGCCAGCTCAATCATGGCAGCACATCACTGGATCACTTGAGCGAAAGTGTGCGGAGTGTTAAAGCGCGCTTGAATTCACCACAGTAATGTGAGTGTTGGACAGGAGAGACCTCTTGAAGACTCTTGCCCACTGTTCCAGGCCTGCTTCTCATTAGCTGAGGGATGTAGTACATTAGAATCTCTGCTTTTGGTACCAGATCTCTGCATCCTCTACTGCCAGAGGTTCCAAGCAATCTGTCAGGGCACAAATGTCTCTCTGTTCATATTTACTGGGTCTGAACATTGCTACCTGCACCCTCAAAGAGAAGAAAAACACACCATAATCAAGTACAATTCATGAGAGGACTGACAGAGTTTTTATTGAAGCATATTGGCTACTAATGCAGTGATTCTGACCTCGGCGGTCTGCAAGCTTTCAGCGGCTGTGGATGTCACCCCTGAGGAGTGTGGTTAGGTGGTATGGTCCGTTAAGAAGAGGAGCTGCAATAACACAGGCATTCTTGTACAATTAAGACTGTGGTTTAAAGGGAAGTTCACGCTGACTGAGATTCACAGTGACAAATGGTTTATTTTCTGTTTTTCTATTTGAGACCAGGCAGGATCACCTACTGGAAACAAACATCTTGAGACTACACCAATTTAATCACTGTCATTGTGAATGCAGCATAATCCAGCTTTTGATGAACAAGTAGTACAATATTAGCATGACTCAAATCTGTTTATTGGAAATATGCATAATCTTTTTTTTGTGTATCTTTTTTGTTTGTAGTCATATGCTTAGCAAATTAGATTTCTACTGTGACCTATTACTAAATCTGTTTCCATTTACAGAAAACATTTTCTGTATGGCTTACATGGCAGTAATCTGACATATTGCCACCAAAAAAAAAAAAAGACAAGTTCAGAAGTTTGGGGTCTGTAACATTTTTCAAAGAAATCTCTTTCTGCTCTTCAAGATTGCATTTATTTGTAAAAACAGTATATACAGTGAAATTGTATTACTGTTTAAAATGACTATTTTCTATTTTTAAACATTTTAAAATGTTGTTTATGTCTGTGATGGCAAAGCTGAATTATCAGCAGTCATTACTCCAGTCTTCAGTGCCACATGATCCTTCAGAAATCATTCTAATATGCTGATTTGCTGCTCACTATCAATGTTAAAAACAGTTGTGCTGCTTAATATTTTTGTGGAAACTTCATATACATTTTATTCAGGATTCTGTAATGAATAGTAAGTTCAAAACAGCATTTATTTGAAATCGGTTGTAAAATTATAATCATCTTTTACCATCACTTTTGATCAATTTAATGCATCTTTGATTAATAAAAGCACTCATTTTCTAATAACCCCAAACTTTTGAATAGTAATGTATGAGTATGTTTTTTTTCTTGGTCTTTTTATTGTTATTATTATATTGATGATAATTATTACCCTATAACTTTTCCCTTTGTAGTAATCAGTGATGGGTGAAAGGACTGAACAGAGCTTTGCATTCTTTGCATTCAAAAACAAAACACCAGCTTGTCAGTCAACCTGCATTCAGCATCAACATGCACCTCCAGCTCCTCTTGAGGTCTTCTGTGAATACACTTGATCTGATATCTCTGATTTGAATTTACTGTTGAAATTAATCCGTTTTTCTGATGTTCTTTCCAGGTACCTTGTGAATCATCACAGGTGTGTCACTACTTGAAAAACATTTGCGACCCCTGAATAATTTCTACAGTGTCCATTTGATGATCCACATTCAGAGGGAAAGTAACTGGAAGAACGTCATGAGGCCTGCTGGTCTCAGTCCAGCGGTTGCACAGCTGGACCAGTGTGGCCTTGTTAACAATGATGAAAAGTACCTGTCCTCTTTAAACCAAGCGGTTCACATGGAAGGTCTGAAGATGTGTAGCTTGTATGAGTCGCCTGTGTCGATAACAACAGATGAGCTCGACTTGGTCTGTTCCACAGAAAGAGTCATCAGCGGCGTAAAGAGTGACACATCCTGCACTCTCTCGGTTGTACATAACGACACATTGTCCCCTTCCTTATTCTGCTCTTCCCTGTCCACATCATCTTTCAGTGCCTTCTCTCCATCCTTCTCTTCCCCTTCCTCTAGCCACTCATCTGGCTCGATATCAGACCTATGTTTGACTTCTCCATCTCTTTCAACTCTCTGCGGTCCACCTGAGACCCAGGATCTTCTCTACAATTGCACACCAGAGCCGCAGGAGAAACCTCCAGAAGGATGTTTGTATCCCAAGTCTCCAAAGCAAGAACCTGTTGCTGAATTTCATCTTTGTTACAAGAAGCTTCTACACAAGGAAGAACTCCTTCAGTATCTCTGCACTGACTCAGACGCCACCAAGGATCAAACCCAGCACCTTAACTTTCACAATACTCAGACAGAAGTATCAGAAAAGCTTCCTACACTGCAGCAGTTGAAGAATGATTTGGGACTTAGTGGACTTAGTGGGCTTCCTGGAGCTGAGCGAATGAATGAACACCTGAGTGAAGAACAGCCATGCAAATGGATGGATTGTAGGGCTACCTATGGGTTGAAAGAAGAACTGGTGAGACATATAGAGAAGGTTCATATAGATCAGCGAAAAGGCGAGGAATTTACCTGCTTCTGGGCAGGATGTGTCCGTCGGCACAAGCCCTTCAATGCTCGATACAAACTGCTCATTCATATGAGAGTCCATTCTGGTGAAAAGCCCAACAAATGCATGGTGAGTTCAGTTTTTTATTTTTATACATACAAAGACAATAACAACAGGACATACAAAAGAAAAGGTCTCAAAATTCCACAAACTTGTGACACCCAGGAAGTGACATCATTTGACCTACATGTCAGGAAGACAAGTAAATAATAGTTCTATTTTCTCAGTTTTTACACAATGTGCTGACTGCATTTGTCAGTCTGAAACATTCAACACTGTTACCAAAGTTGTTGCAAGAAAAAATAATCAAACAAATATTTTTCTTTAATGCAAAATCTGAATTTATCAATAACAACAACCTAACATTTTGTCTCAAACTAGATAGCCACTGAAACTTTTAAATCAGGAACATTCTTGCTTACAAGGCTGTTAATGATAATTGCATGTATATTTTGTTTATTGCTCATTTTTTTCATGTTTATGTTTGTTGCACAAACATGACTAGATCACAATAGTCTGTTTTAAACAATATTCAGACATGTCCCAACTGCTGGATAAGGCTGCTACTCTTATGATCTCTTATATATTGCATGTCATATAAAATTAATATAAAATCATATAATATTTAGTTTGGCCTCCTGGGCTGGACAAAGAACATTTTCTGGTGTGCCAGGCCCTTCTTTTTTTTTTTTTTTTTTTTTCCTTTTTTCTTTTATACCTAACCCTTTTTTCCCTTCTATACTAATCAACTTTACCATTTTCATTGAGCTCACTTGTACAATCTATCACATTTATAATATTAAAATATTATAAATCAGCATATTGGAATTATTTCTGAAGGGTCATGTGACACTGATCACTGGAGTTATGGCTGCTGAAAATGCAGCTTTGCCATCACAGGAATAAATTACATTAAATAAAATATATTAAAATAGAAAACTTTATTTGAAATGAAAAGCCTTGGTGTGCATGAGACTTATTTCAAAACACCTAACTTTTTTGGTAGTGTGTATCACAATATTGTGCCAGACACTGAACACAGGTGTTGTTTTTCTAATAATTATAATTTGTATCAACCAGTAAAAATTGACATTTTTATTTCAAACCATGCCAATTCTTTGAAGTAAGAGTTTGTAATAGAGAGAGACTGACGTGTGAACTCAATCGCTCTTCACCTCCAAAGATGGATGGATTGCAGATTTTAGAGATTTCGACATTTTAGAGTTGTTTATAATTCACTTACAAATTGCCTTCATAAGAGTTGCCTGGAGACTGATATTATGCAATGATCAATTTAGTCAACTCCTTCCAGGACAACTTTGAAGAAGGAGTTTTAGACTAAGCTTTTTTAATATTCATTGCCTGATTTTTTTTTTTTTAATTTTTTTTTTAGGTAAAACAAGTAACTTGCAAGCCCCCTCATGCAGTTTAAGGGAACAGCTAAATGTTCTCTCATTCTGTTACCTGATATTGAATTATTATAATCAGAACTTAAGTTTCATCTCTTATTTTTGAGATTTTTGAGATACGTAATACATAGAATATAAAAGACGGAATACTAGGGGTGCTCCGATTGATCAGCTACCGATCAGTATCGGCCGATAATGACGTTGGGATGATTGATCGGCGGTCTCTAAAAGGCCGATCTCAAGCTGATGACGCGCCTGCTGTGAGAGGTTTGGCACGACATGCAGCGGCATCGTCTCAGTCTCTGTCTGGCGCGGGTGAAATAATTATAATGCTGAAGGTGAGGTACTCGCCTTCATATGTTTTCATTAAATAACTTATAACGTAATTTGAAAACCTTGTGTGAGACGTAATTTCACACACAGCGTGAGTGAATCACCGCGCGCGCTCTCTCTCTTTCTCTCTCAAAATGAGCAAATGGCTTCAAATCACGTACCACACATCGCGTCTGTCTATAAGCGAGCTGCACGCTGCACAGTTGACACAGGAATTGTCACTTGCACAGTCGAGGCAGTGTCACATCGTCACTAAATGTTAAATAGCATTTCTTTTTAATTCTTGCCAGTGTTTAACCATTCAGCCACCACTCACCGCTCATGTACATTAGCAGCGCACACACATAACGCCAGGTTCACATTACTCCGTTTGCAGTGCATACATGGTGCGTATTTTTTCCGCGCTCATGTTAACGGATTAAAGCTTTTACTGCACACGGTTGCTGTCCGGCAGTGCGTTCAGGAGCGGTGAGTCTGCAGCAGTGCAGAGATCGTTTCAGCACCAGTCTATTTTTTGCTGTGCTGCAAGCGCTGAATTAAAGTAACAGCGCATTGTTTGCAATAAATATAAACATGGATTGACACGAAAATGTAGTAATTACACCATAAATGCATATTAAAGTCTACTGTGTTTCACAGTCAACACATATGGCTTTTTGGCTTGGTTTAAAGGAAAAGAGCACTTTTAGATAATGAAGGCAATAATAGATGCCACTTGTGGAGGTAGAAAAACAAAGTTCTTTATGAACCGCAGGATTGCTTGTAATAAAGATTTCAATGCAAAAGGAAAGGCAGTAAAGCTGACTATTTCTGTCAGTGGTAAGTTTTAAAAAGATCGGTATCAGTGATCGGTATCGGCAGATACTGCTTTCTGTGATCGGCGATCGGTGATCGGCCTCAAAAATCCTGATCGGAGCACCCCTACGGAATACAGTAACTGTAAGAAGTTATATCCATTACATGCTCAAAGATTTTATTGTAGGCAGCGATAACAATGTCCTAAAACTATAATAATTTAATACTTTGATGAAGCTGTGTTTCATTTCCTTCACCATGAGCCACATAGGAAATGTGGTTCTTTTTAATGATGTAAGATAGCCATGGGATATTATTTCATCTATTTCATGTTATTATTTTTGTTTTATTTTTTTTTAATCTGTGGTGGCCAGAGGACTATCATTTGGGGAGCATTTTATCCTGGATAGATTTTTTTTTACAATTAAATGTAGTTGGATTATAATTTGTAACATTGTGATTTTTAGTGTATATTTTTAATCTCAACAGCATGGCTTTTAATATACTTTTTTATTATTATTTTACAAATACATAGAGATTTTGTTATAAGATTAGATCAATTAATGTTCTTTTTAATATTGTTATCAATTTTAAACATTTTAAATCTGAGATTTATTATACAGTATGCAGAAATTGTCTGCTTTACAGACTGCATGACTGCGGCTGCCACCTTGAATCAGCTGGGCTTATTACTGACTCCTTCGCTGGCCTCTCTCCAACTCAAACATCTTAGCAGAGCCTTGTTCTAACAGGAACCAGCTTTGAACATGTCTGTTTAATCAACTTCGTAGAGAGGCATGTGTGTTTGTGTGCGGATCTTCAGAACAAGCCTCATAAATGTGCATGAACTGACAACATGAATAGCATTTAATTTACTATAGGAGCATAACAGTTTTATGTGGCTTAATATCTAATTTCTCAACATCATTTTCAGCTTAAGGCAGTTATTCACCATTATTTATTTCAAACCCTGTATGACTTTCTTTCGTCTGGGGAACACTAAAGGAATTATTGATAACTGAACATACAATCTGCCCTTTTCCATCCAATGTAAGTGAAAGGTGACCACTGCTCAGCTGTCATGCAAGATTTTGAATGAATAACAATGTAAGTGTTCATCTTTTTAGAAGAAACTTGAAATATAGCAAGATTAATATAAGTTGCATGGACTTTGTTTATGATGCTGTTATGGTGCTTTTTCACTTTGGAGCTTGACACCTCCTGGTCCCCATTCACTTATTGTATAGTATGTATGAAGCAGCTTGAACATTCTTCAGAGGTTCTCCTTTTGTTTTCTATGGAAGAATGAAAATCATATGGGTTTGTAACAACATGAGGGTGAGTAATTGATGGCAGGATTTTCATTTTTGGATGAACTATTGTTAATTTCAAGAAAATTCTGTTTTTTTTTGTTTTTTTTTTGTTTTTTACACCTTTGCAAATGTTACATAACTGTCTCTGTGGCAAAACATTTCCTGTTCCAAAACTGCTATCATTTTGAGCTTTAAAAAATACCCTTGGAAAACATATGCCACCACTTTTTTACTTTTATATCAAGCGTAACTTGGTATCAGACAAGACGTGTCTTTTTGTTTTTTGAGGAGATTGAATGGCAGTAAGTAAAAAAAGTAGTTTCACCAAAACCTTTTGCCTTGTGTTTAATATCTTCTTCTAATCAATTGCAATTGCATATATTAATCCCTGCTTACATGCAAAGCATGCTGCACTCTCTAGCACTAAAGCATAAGTCGTAATTTGCATGTATATGTACTTATATGGACTTTTTCCCTCATATGCACATGTGCTTGGGTGTTGTTTTATAGTTTGAAGGCTGCAATAAGGCATTTTCCCGTCTGGAAAACCTGAAGATCCACCTACGCAGCCACACTGGAGAGAAGCCCTACATTTGCCAGCAGCCCGGCTGTCTCAAGGCCTTCAGCAACTCCAGTGATCGAGCCAAACACCAGCGCACACACCTGGACACGGTATGTATGACCATTCTTATGGCTCTTTCAGGTTAAAACACAAAAACAACATTAAAAATGCACTGCAGAAAATTGTACAGTTGGATCCAAAAGTCTGAGAAGAAAATAAAAAAAATAAATGTGCACACATTTGTTTAGCTAACTTTACTCAAATTTTAGGTCACTAATTAAACTATGACATTCTGAAAGTTCCTTTAAAGGGGTGGTTGATTGTGATTTCACTTTTTTAACGTTAGTTAGTGTGTAATGTTGCTGTTTGAGCATAAACAATATCTGCAAAGTTACGAGGCTGAAAGTTCAATGCAAACGGAGATATCGTCTTTCAAAATTCTGGCAGTTTAATGCCTCCAAAAACGGCTGGTAGGAACTACAACAAGTTACTTCCTGGAAAAGGCAGCAAAGGGGACAAGGCCATGCTACGCTGCTTTAGAGAAGAGGATGAGAAAACTAGAGGTGCACATAAAAATCTATTCATATATGAATCGCGAGATTCTGTCTTCTAACGATTCTAATGGATTCACAAGTTTCAAAATCAATGTTCTAAAGCAGCGGTTCTTAAAGGGGACCATATGACGTTGCTAAAAAACACATTATGTTGTGTATTTGGTGTAATGAAATGTGTTTATGTGGTTTAAGGTTCAAAAAACACATTATTTTCCACATACTGTACATTATTGTTTCTCCTCTATGCCCCGCCTTTCTGAAACGCGTCGATTTTTACAAAGCTCATCGTTCTGAAAAGCGAGGTGTGCTGTGATTGGCCAACTATCCAGCGCATTGTGATTGGCCGAATACCTCAAGCATGAGACGGAAATGTTACGCCCCTCACAACTGTTGATGCCATGTCCAGCCGGAGCGACGAGACATAAACATTAAAACCCATTATAAACGAGGCATTTGTTGCATCCAGTGGGGACATAATTACGGATTATAATGACTTATACTGTCTTTTTACATGTTGCGTTGCATTGCGCCGCGTAAACATAAAACCCTGTCTGCATTTGTGATCAGAGAAATGACAAACAACAAGCCCTACTCTACACTGCCCAAAAAACTCGCGTTTGAATCGTCAGTGGCAAATTCTTTAAATATAAAAAAACGTACTTACAGTCTGTGAGTCAGAACAGCCGGCATTGTAGGCTTCTCTCCCAGGTTCAGGAACAGTCCTCCATAAAATGCGCTGCACACATCTCAATATTTGGCTTGAACTGTTCTGGAACGGTGTTGTAAATACAACTTAACCACTGATTTCTAGTCGTGTCCTCTTTTGGAAGACCAAACAAAGTAGTTTCGCTTTCACAACGAAACACAGCGGGCTAGAGTGAGCAGAGGCCGGCGG